CTTGTGGGCCTTGGTGTCAAAAAAACTCTCATCTTAAGTTGGTTTGCTTTGCTTCTGTCTCTTCTGTGCTCTTTCTGTCTTCTTGTGGGCCTTGGTGTCCAAAAACTCTCAGCTTAAGTTGATTTGCTTTGTTTCTGTCTCTTCTGTGCTCTTTCTGTCTTCTTGTGGGCCTTGGTGCCAAAAAACTCTCATCTTAAGTTGATTTGCTTTCTTTCTGTCTCTTCTGTGCTCTTTCTGATCTTGTGGGCCTTGGTGTCAGAAAACTCTCATCTTAAGTTGATTTGCTTCGTTTCTGTCTCTTCTGTGCTCTGTCTGTCTTCTTGTGGGCCTTGGTGTCAAGAAAACTCTCACCTTAAGTTGATTTTCTGTCTCTTCTGTGCTCTGTATGTCTGCTAGTGGGCCTTGGTGTCAAAAAACTCTCATCTTAAGTTGATTTGCTTTGTTTCTGTCTCTTCTGTGCTCTGTCTGTCTTCTTGTGGGCCTTGGTGTCAAGAAAACTCTCACCTTAAGTTGATTTGCTTTGTTTCTGTCTCTTCTGTGCTCTTTCTGTCTTCTTGTGGGCCTTGGTGCCAAAAAACATCATCTTAAGTTGATGTGCTTTGTTTCTGTCTCTTCTGTGCTCTTTCTGTCTTCTTGTGGGCCTTGGTGTCCTTGGTGTCAAAAACTCTCATCTTAAGTTGATTTGCTTTGTTTCTGTCTCTTCTGTGCTCTTTCTGTCTTCTTGTGGGCCTTGGTGTCAAAAAAACTCTCATCTTAAGTTGATTTGCTTTGTTTCTGTCTCTTCTGTGCTCCTTCTGTCTTCTTGTGGGCCTTGGTGTCAAAAAACTCTCATCTTAAGTTGATTTGCTTTAAGTTGATTTGCTTTGTTTTTGTCTCGTCTGTGCTCTTTCTGTCTTCTTGTGGGCCTTGGTGACAAAAAAGTTCTCATCTTAAGTTGATTTGCTTTGTTTCCGTCTCTTCTGTAATCTTTGTGCCTCCCATGCGCCTCGTAGTGATGCAAGTGGTGCTGTGGAACGCCGCCGACTTTTTTAGCATTTTCTCTGTCATTTTTGTATTCGATGCCCTTGTGGAATGTTGGGGCCAAGTTTGTCAAAAAACAGTGCATTAATGAGCCCAAAAAGTCTTATTTTTCACTGTGTTTTACAGTGTTTTATGCACATTGCCCTTCAAAACCTTTGAATGCCAGAAAACAATAAAAACATCAAAAATTGCCTCCCGTGCAGGTAAAGTGCAACTTTTTGAGGGCAAATAAGCTCAACACAAACCCACCCAAAGCCACTTTTTACTGTAAATTACAGTGTTTTTTGCACCTTCGATCCTGCCTCAAGACACCCCAAAAGTCTGCAAATCAAAATCTCGAACTTTCACCCCCCCCCCCCCCCCCCCCCCCCCCCCCCCCCCCCCCC